ATCAACTTACCATGTAAGTATGGGTTTATTTCTGGACTCTCTATTCTCTTCTACTCATAAATTTTACTATCATTATGCCAATACCACAGTCTTGATTACTATAACTTTTTAGTAAATCCTGAAGTTATGTAGGGAAAGTCCTTCAACTTCTTTCTTACATAAAATTGTTTTGGCATTGTAGTTCCTTTTCATTTCAATATGGATTTTAAGTACCAGTAGTCAATTTCTATTTAAGAAAAAGGCTGCTGAGAAACTGGTTGGGTTTGCACTCAATCAACCTGGGGAGAACTGGTAACTTACCAATTTCAAGTCTTCCAACCCATGAATGTAGTATAGCTCTCCATTCACAGGCATCTTCTTTAATTTCTCTCAGCAATGTTTTGTACTTTTCATTGTAGGTTTTTACAAATCTTGTTAACTTATTGCTTTGCATTTCATGTTGGGTGCTATCATAAATGGAAATTTTTTAAAACTTCATCTTCCAATCATTTGCTGCTAGTATATAGAAATAAAATTGATTTTTGTATACTGCCCTTCTACCTGTGGCCATGTAAAGTTTACTCGTTAGTTTTAGTGGTTGCTTTTCAGATTCTTAATAATATTTCATGTAAACAATCATGTCATATACAAAGAGAGACACTTTTACTTTTCCCTTCCAATTTCATACTTTTTTTTTTCCTTTTTGTCTTTTTTACTGACCGGTAACGGGATTGCAACCCTCAGTGTCGCGCCCGTACCGGGGACCGGCAACGGGATCGCAACCCACAGTGTTGTGCCTGCACCTCGCTCAGCCAGTGAGCGGGAACCGGTCTCCACATGGGATCCGAACCCTCGGCAGGAGCGCTGCCGCGCTCCCAAGCGGTGCACTCTCCAGTGTGCCACCGGGACGGCCCAATTTCATACTTTTTAAAAAACCTTATTGCACTAATTAAATCCTCCAGTAAAATGTTGAACAGAAGTGGTAAAAGTGTATATTCTTGCCTTGCTGACAATCTCTATTATCATTTAAATATATACTATGTTTTTATTTAATTATTGTTTTTCAATTTATGTTTACCATTTAGATATTTGTTTTCTATTAGATCTAATTATATTCTTTTTCTGACACGTTTTGGCTTAATCAGATATTTTTAGAATTCCATTGTAATTAAACTACTGACATTTTAGTTATAATTCTTTGTATAATTTTTAATGGTTACTGTATGGATTACAATATGCATTTCAGAAATAATTACAGTCTACTTAGAGTTACTGTTGTTCTGCTTCATTTAAATATAATAACGCCACAACCATAAAGTTCATTTACCCCATGCTGTCCTTTTTACTATTGTTAAATATACTATATCTACGTTCATTATAAACCAACAATATATTATAATTTTTGCTTTTAAATAAAAGAAAATATATAGTCTTTAAAAAAAATCTACCTATGTATTACCCAGTTGCCTTAACACAGTCGTTCTCCATGGGGAGCAACCTAATGGGTAGAGGAGAAGGATGCTGCTAAATATCCTACAGTGCAAGGATAGCCCCTCAATAAGAGAAGTACCCAGCCCCAAAGGGCAAACAATGCCAAGGTTGAGAAACCTGTCTTAAGATAACGTGCATTGTTCTCATCTGGTTGCTTTCAAGGTTATCTCTTTATAACTATGGTTTTCAGCATATTAACTATGATGTACCTAGGTAAAATTTTACTTTTATCCTGTTTTGCAAGAGACCCCTAAGTCTGTTAGATATGTTTTTTGAAGCAAATTTGGTTATGTTTTCAAATATTTTATGCCCCATTATCTTTTTCCTCTCCCTCACAAACAGTTCAGGGGTCAGCCAAGTATATTTGGTCTGAGTTTATACATACATTTTGAGGCTCCTTCCTATGCAACTCCCTCTTTTTGGGGACTCCTCCCCTCTTTTCAGCCTTGCTAACTAACAGTGCTGAATTCTGTCTTCCGACTCTTTAAGTCAGTAAGACTGCAGCTTTCTGCATAGAGTAGGGAGTGGTATTAGACAAAAGGCCATAGGAACACGAATCTCATCCAGAGAATTTCTTTCTTTCAAGAGCTGATTCCTCTTCAGTTTTTGCCTGCTTCTGGTTATTCTCCAGTGCCAAACAGTTGTTTTTTCTTTCATATTTAGTCCAATTTTAATAATGATTATCTGCAGTAGAGACAGTCTGATACAAACAACTTCACCAATACTGGAAATGCCAATTAGGATTTTTAAATGTGATGGTTTTATTGGAAATAGAGATTATTTTATCCATCTATGCCTTGACACATTCTGCTGTCCTAATCCTTACGCACAGCAGCCTATGCAAACAATTTCTGAGACACTACTTCTATGACTGAAGAAACTTCTCCACGGAATAATGAAAATAATGTGGGCTTTGGAATCAGAGAAACCATTCGCTAACTGTAGGAACTTGGAAAGACTGTTTACTCTACGCTTCTCCACTTGTATTATGGAGGTGGTCATTTAAATCTCAAAGGGCTCTTATGAAAATTAAATGCTTACATTGTAAAGCATATAGCAAATGAAAAGAAAAAAACTGTTGGTTCCTTTCCCCTTAGACCTCTTCCTCCATTCTAGCAGTGGATATAGTAAAAGAAATTCCTAATACATGACCACCATTTTCTAGTTACTTTATTCCATTAGTAACATTTAATTAAGTTTACTTTATAAGGATGAAAGAACACGAGAGAGAGAAAACAAATTTCACTTTATGAACAAGCATGAGGCAGAAGCAGGGACTGTCCAAGGTGACGCTGAACCCAGGGAAGACTCCCTCCTCCACAGTACCTCTGGGTAGGCAAGTGTAGAGGCAAGAGGATGCATGGCATGCAAAAGGCATCTGCAGTGGATTGAATTATGTCCCCCCAAACTCACTGGAACTTGAATTGTGTCCCCCAAGTTTTATGTATTAGAAACTTAGCCCCCACTGTGACTGTTAAGAGGGTGAGAAATCCTATTAAGGTAATTGAAAGGTGGAGCCCTGAAGGGATGATTGGATTGTAGGACCGTACAGTAGTGAATGGATTAAAAATGGTGGTCAGGGGTGTGGTTCTGAGGACTTTAAAAGAAGAGGAGAGTCTGTCTTTCTCTCTCTCTCTGCAATCTCTGCTTCCACCATCTTGCAATGTGAGACCCCTGGGTCACTGTCGCCACCACCAGATGGACTTTGGACTTCCCAGCCTCAGAAACTGTAAGCAAATAAACTTCATTTTCTTTATAAATTACCCAGTTCCACGTATTTTGTTATAAGCAACAAAAACGGACTAATAACAGCATCTTTATCTCTCCATGTGTAAATGAGAAAGATTCTTTCTCTAGACATGAGAAATATACAATAAGTTACTAATCTAATAAGCAAAACTGCTTAGAAGAGCGAGAGTAATTTCAAAAGTAAAATAGAACAAATGAAAAGGTCAGTACAAAAAGCTATTGGACTTCTCCTGTTTTAAAAGTAAATTTTGTTCCTTGTAAAGAAATGAACAAAAAACCAGGATTGTACAGGACTATATTTTGTAAATTTTCTAAATTAACAATAGATAATGAAGAACTTACCATGTGTTTACGCATTGTTTTACATGATTTTTTAATACTTGCATTGTATATATTGGTATAAATATGACATAATTTGTTTACTAGGTCTTATGAATTGTAAATTTAGGTTGCTTCTAATATTCACAACTATAAATTATTCATAAAAGATTTCACACATCTCAAACAATTTCCTTGGCTGTTTGTCTGCTGTAAATATAATCAGCAAACAATTAACAACCTTATCTATGTCATAACTTAAAGGACTGGCTGGTTAGTTCAGTTGGTTAGAGCACAGCCCTGTAATGACAAGATCACAGGTTCAGATCCCAGAACTGGCCAGCCACCAATAAAAAAAAAAGTTAACAATAAAGGAATAAAGAGGCTTATGAAACAATGTAAGAGAATGCCTTCCATGCTGCATCAATTCATAATTGCCATTCCTTGAGTACAGGTATGTTGCCAACTAATTACATCATCTTCCAACACTTATTTTTCCATCTTGTTCCAGGTATATAAAAGATTTTATCGAACATTTTGCTTACATCTAGCTGCACCATTTTTACACAATTTGACCTATGTTTCTAGTACCCTATCATAAAAACATAATGAGGCATCAATTGTTCAAGTGAATTCACATTGGCTCTCTTTTCTAAGTTCATTAGACAGATGATGCAAGGAAATCAAAGTGGAGGCATTGCTCCAACAAATAGAACAGAGCTGAGAAGAAGCTGACTGCTCTAAGAAATAAGAAAGAATCGGACTGTTAATTATAATTACATAATCATATAGTGCTGACACGACATGTACTCTCAGCTTAAGCAATTAAGAATAAGTTGAAGGAGAAAGAGCCAAAGTAAAACTGACATATTTAAGTAATGTACATCTTTTGAATATAATACTTTTATACTACTGACTGGCTGACTGGTTTGAAAGTTAGCACAGTAGTGCCTATAAATATAATCATCTCCCTACATCTATAAGCAGTGGGAGAAAAACAGAAGCATTCAATAGGTTTCTTAGGTCTACACTGCTGTAAACCAGAGGTCAGCAGAGTTAATCTGCAAGGAGCCAGATAATAAATATTTAATCTTGCAGGCCATATAGTCTCTGTTGCAATCACTCAACTCTTTTATTGTAGCATTACAGCACCATAGACAATGTGTAAATGAATGAATGTGGTTGTGTTACAAAAAAATTTTATTTACTAAAACAGGTGGTGGGCTACAGTTTGCCAACCACTAGTGTAAACAATGAGAGGTAAATACCTAGTGCAAAATGATGCTAAACCATCTCTTGAACACATCTTAAAATTTCAAATGGTGAACAAGAAAATATTTTATAGAACAGTACAATTTTACTTTCCTATGATACTACAGGAATTACAATTTCATTTTCAGTGAATTCAAACACATAGCTGGATCAATTTTTCTACATACCCTCAGAACCTGAGAATCATTTACCTGTGCATAATCACCAAAAGATGAAGGATAAGCAATGCACTTTTCTGATGTATATTGTGCTTCATTTCCCTGAGAGACTGCATCCAGCATGGTGCTTGCAATTCCAGTCTTATGTAGAGTGGTTTTACTTGCAGAGGCTAAAGGCAAAATCAATAAGTTTATTTTAGTTAGATTTTTTAATTATAAATTATAAACAGAATGCAAAATTCATTAACTCAGCATGTTCTCAAATATAACACAAATCTTAGTTTTCTAATATATATCTATATTTATTTTACCTGGGGGCGGGGATGAGATACATATATATATCTCTCATGAGATTGTTTTACTCATCTGAAAATGAAAGCTTGCCCTATGGGTGAATAATTTAGGTGGAAACATTTTTTTTTAATGTGTCTAATCTCTAAAACAAGGCATACTAAATATAAGTTAACCACTCTTGCTAATGAAGTCATAGTTGCTAATGAAGTCATAGTCACCATCTATTTTTAGGTCAGATCAATATATAAGAGGTATATTTAAAGCATATCTAAGTTTTTTTCTGACTTTTAAAAAAAATCACAAATTAATGTCTGGGTTCAAAGATACTTCAAAAAATACACAGGACGTATATTAAAAATGAAATTCATCTTTTCATCTCTTTTCATTCAATTCTATTCTTCTTCCCAGAAGTAGCAGTTTAGAATTTATTTTCCAAGATTTACTTTATGCATTTACACACTCAAATATGTACATGTAAGAATATATAGTTTTAAATAAACATAAATGGATTCATTTTATGCATACATTTGATTTTTCCACTTAAAAATATGCTTTAGAGATTATTTCATATTAGTATATGTAGATATCCCTTAATAATAAAAAAAGTTGCACAATATTCCACTTTATATTGAACTATTTAATTACCCATTCCCTTAATGACAAACGTTAAGGTATCCAGATTTTCACTATGGACAACCAATACTGCAGTGATTATCTTTGTGCCTGGGGCACATCACATTTGTGATTTTCTCTTAAAACTATATTTGAATGCATAGTTAAAGGCCTGAGGGGGTCCTTCAAAAAAGAAAAAGAAAATTCCATTTCTTCTGATTATTAACAGTTGATACATTTCTGGAGCGTCCAAATACTCTGGATATATTAGATTACTTAAAGGTTTAACCATCTGGTTTAGAAAAATGACTCCTTGGGCTGGCTGGTTTGCTCAGCTGGTTAAAGTGTGGTGCTGGTAACACCAAGGTCCAGGGTTCAATCTCTGTACTAGCCAGCCGCCAAAAAAACAAAAAAGAAAAAGAAAAATCACTCCATATGTGTTGTAAAGAATTATGGTATTGCCACCTCATAATTGTTTTACCCGATTATTTTCAGTCATGATTCAAAACTAATTCAATAAATTGATTATATTCTTAATTTAAAAAACGATAAAAGATACTTTCTTTAAATAAAACAATATTTTTAAGTCCCTTAATTTTAATTACTCTTTCAATTTAGAGAGTGGGCCTAACTTAGGCCTTAATTTGGTCAACAGGCATTATTTGCTTCCTTTATATTAAAAATTAAAGTAAAATTCATTTTGGAAAGTATTCAGTAAGACTCCAGTATATCATACTGAGCCCTCACTTACATGATAAGCACATACTGGGCAACACACTTGCCAAATTCAAGTATGGATTTTTACTGAGCCGAATTTCTTTTGGTGGTTCTCCCAAGAGTGAAGTCTGATTCTTAGAGGCAGCCTGTTTATCAAAAACAAAAGATGGGGTGTGTTTAATAAGAGGTACAAGAAAATCAAAATGCAGAGAGAATAAACTTATTTTTCAATAAATCTAGTCTAGTGTGATAAAAATTTGTGGAACCTAATCTTTGATGATATATACTTATGAAATATTTATGGATGTTTATTAAAACTTTCTCATTTCACCTGTTATTATTTTTTTTCAATTAGTTTTTTTAAACTATTCTAGCATCATACAACTTTAGAACTGAAAGAAAATTAAGGGCCATCTTGTATAAACTTCTCACTTGAACCAGGAAAGAATTCATCTTCACCAGAAAAAACAAATTCCATATCTCATTTCCAGAAATACTGTTATCAACTTTTTTTTTTAACTAAGATTTTTATTTTATATAATGTGACCATAATCAAATGACAAAAGCAAAGCTTACTTATCTCTGGTACTAAAAATAATACCAAACAAAATAAGTTGGTTTAATAAACTCCAACTCCACATTTAGATGATAAAGCTAGAAATTCACATTTCTTGAAAATGTCAGTATATTTTTATGTAAATTGTTAGGTATAAGGATTCTAGTATTTCTCTTTTTTCCGTTGTCTTTGTTTTTTGGTGGTTGGCCAGTATGAGGATCCAAACACTTCACCTTGATGTTATCAGCACCACACTCTAAAACTGAGGGAGCTAACTGGCCAGACCTCTAATATTTCTTTAACAGAAAAAAAGGAGATACAGTGTATTTCAGATTCTTCTAATAGAATTTTTTACATTTCACTGCCTGATAGTAAAGATTTAAAAATAAGACACAATTTCGGTTACTATGAGGGTATTTCAAAAAGTTCATGGAAAAATTTAATTCTCTTTTAATTCCATCTCCCAGTTCTTCATAAAACTTGTTTTCCAGACACTGCCCTACCTTGGCTGTCCTCTTCAAAAGAGACTAATTTGCCCATTATGTGAATCACCCAAATCCAAACATTTTCTAAAGACTCTGGTGCTTACAATGAATAAAAGACTGCAAAACTACTTGTTTAATTTTCCTCAATAACCCAAGCAATTGATACTGCAGATAAAATTTTAAAATTCATTCTATAAAGAGTTGCATTAGCTTTCTCAATGTACAACTGTAGCACATTCTATCCATACTTCCTGCTATGACTATGTAACAACAAAATCTCTTACAAATTCAGTATTATTATTTTGACATTTTAATACAACCAACTCTGTGAATATTTTTCCTTATATGCTGCTTATAGCCTAAGTTTTATATCAATTACAAACCAAAGGGTATTTTAGGATAAAAATAAAATAAAAATTAGACATACTTTATTCTACCTACTTATTATAACATTTACAAATATCAGTGGTATATGAACCAATAAAATGACTGGGTAAAAATTTTTAGGACTAAAACAGAAATCAGATTCTTTTGAACAGACCAGAGTTTAATAACAGATTTTGATATTTTTCAGATAAAATAAAATTCATTCTGCCTTTAAATATTAAAATGCCTTACTTAGCTACACAATGTATTTTTAAAATAGAAAAAAGCATATTTTAAAGAACAGCATTACTACTTACTTAGAAAGCCTTAGAAATAATATCACTATATTACTGGATATTAATGATACTCTAACCTTTTACAAACTATAGATTTTGAACTTAAATTAGTTTATATCTTATTTTTAAAATATCAATTATTTTTGAAAACCATGCATATCACAAATTTTTCAGTAAAGCAAACATTTATAAAAAATAAAGAATTCATATTTAAATTATTTTATAACAGATTTAAAAAACTCATTTTACACAAATTATTTTACTTACAAACTGGCAAATCATTAGGCATAGTTCCAAATGTCAGCTGGCATAATCTATCAAAAGAGTTTTGTTTGCTTATTTATAATAAGGTTTTTTTTTTTTTTTAAAGAATGCTGTTTTTTGGGGCCGGCCCGGTGGCGCAATGGATAGTGCGCCGCTTGGGAAGCGCGGCGGCGCTCCCGCCCGAGGGTTCGGATCCCACGTACAGACCGGTTCCCGCTCACTGGCTGAGCGAGGCGCGGGAGCAAAGCCGTTGCGATCCGTTGCCGGAAACGGAAAAAAGACAAAAGACAAAAAAAAAAAAAAAAAAAAAGAATGCTGTTTTCTTCAATTTTGAAAAGTAAATGTAAACTACGAAAAAGTCATCATTTAATGACATCGCAATTATCTAGTTTGTAATCCATATTTATATACTTTAAGTATATATTAATTTCCTTTAAAGTTTAAAACATAGCTAAGATTGCTTTATGATACTTCATAAATTATGCCACCTATAACCACAATTAGCATATCCTAATATTAGAATAATTTAAGATATAATTTACATGTGTGCACACACACTTTTCTTACCCCTGAACTTGTCTCTGTGCCTTTTGGCTGGCTTTGCAGCTGCTTAGGGTGTCCTGTCAGCAATCCCCCAGCAGTAAGGTTTGGAAAGCTCTGAAGGTGAGGCTGTGACCCTGAGAAATTTCCTTCTGCCATTCCCACCGTGGCTGGCTGTTTCTCCTGAGTATTACTATGCCCTGGCCCGGCTTGTCCAGCGATGTGCTGATTTGGAAAGAATGGTAATATGCCCATTCTAGCTGTTACAGTTGTTTGAGTTGGAATCAGATTAGATGCTGTAGTGAACCACAAATGCAAAAAGCTTTTAGTTAGACCAGACTTGTTCACAACAGTCCTTCTGATTTTGTTAAGTTGTGGGCAAAATGCAGAGAAACCAATTTTGTACCTACTAAAGAACAGTTAAATTCAAAAGATAAGATTAAAGGTTATAAATTAGGAGGTTCCTCTATGAAAAAAACAAGATCTTACAATAGTAATGATGCTGTTCTTATTTCCAACAACTTCCAAGATAAACTTCAGTGATATATTTTTAAAATCCAAGTTTTGGGCCGAGCCCGTGGCGCACTCAGGAGAGTGCGGCAGCGCTCCCGCCGCGGGTTCGGATCCCATATAGGGATGGCCGGTGCGCTCACTGGCTGAGCAAGGTGCGGCCGGTCTCAAAAAGGGCAAAAAAAAAAAAAAAAAAAATCCAAGTTTTAATTGCATATTTTAGAAGTTGAGAGAAGTTTATATACTTTTTGGTGTTTAAAGCAGTGCTTTTAAAAAAAATGCCCATTCACTGCAATTTGCCTGCTTCCACATTTGAAGGTAATAATTAAATAAGTCAAGCTTAAAAGTTCTCTGACACTTAAAAATTAATAAAGTTTGACTGAATCTCACAATAAATTTGGTTAGCCGGCTTGCGTCTGCTCATGAGAGCCAATTGTGCATTTCTCTTCCCGGCTCTCGAGTTTAGTGTCTTCATATTGGTAACTTGAAATTGGCCATGGTTGGAATATTCACACACAGAAATGCACAAATACTACAAATTAAGACTTCTTTTTTAAACTTTTTAAAGTTTCAGTAGAAAAATTCTGAACCATTCCACTTTTTAAAAATCTATAGGTCAAAATTGAAATGAAAAGAGCTCATTTTGATAACTAAGTCAAATGTGCATTTTACAAATTCACTAAACAAATTTCTTCAATTGTTTTAAGTACTAAACATTAAGAGATGGATACTTTGTTTCTCATATCTTTTAGCAATATATTTATTTGGACACTCTGAATTTTCAGTATTCATTCTTAAAGCAGTACATGCTAAAGCAAATGGCTTCTTATTTAATCGGACAACCTATAAACATTTGCATAAGCTTTTAGTCATAGATAATTTAATTTTTTGGAAAGACAGACCCCATCATACCATAAAAATTTCCTCAGCAGTTAACTTTTGCCCAGATAATTTTAACAGTCAGAATTGACTGAGTTATTTGATCATTGACTAGTTGATTTTATGTATAAGAGGTTAAGTATGCCACTTATATTCTATTGACTTTTTTTTATTACTGTGGCCCTTCTGTTTTCACTCAGCATGCTCATGTCTAAGCAAATTTCAATTAAGCTTCAAAGTGCTTTACAAAATCACATTCAAATAAGAAATCTAGGTGTATAACACCATGTCGCTATTGTTCTAAAAAAAAATTGTTTTAATTTCAGAAGCACATAGTACACATATTATTTTTATTCTACTACTAATTTGAAGATATTTTAAAATGATACAAATAAATAATCAAACTTTAAATTTACAAATACAAGGTATTTCTTTTATAAAAGCTAAGGGTTTCTTATCCAGGCAAAAATTAAATGGTTACATATGTAATGTGCTGTCAGCCCAGTGGGCAGCATGTCAGTCTCAAATGGATCCATGTCTTTACCTCATACTGCTGTGAACCTGCATGAAATATTAAAGCATATCCAACAGGGAAAGTCTTATCTTGGTATGGAAGCAAGTGCATCAATAACTTATCAATATTAAAAATAGAAAAGCCAAGAGGATTCTTGAAATTTTAAATGACTAAAACTCAAATTTGACCTTCCTGTAAATCCAAGTAGAACAAAAGGTAAACTATCTTTAAATTTCAAACCTATTTACTGACTTCTCAGTAAATACACTTCATTTACTTTTATGTGCTTCTCCAGGATGCCCCAAGTCCATTTTCAATGGAAGCGCCGATCCTATCCCTAGTGCAGTTTGAAGTATCATGGCTGGGGGTTCTCCAAGTAAGCCAGGTTTCTACAAAAGAAAAAACGTAAGATTTTTGCCCATGGAAGTTAAGATTTAACCTAAAGGGGGCTACATATGTGAAAATTCATAAATAACATGATCAACAGCCTAATTCTAGAAAAAAACTGATTTCAAAAGAAAAATATAATACTATACTTACATTATTAGTATGAATGTTCTCAAACTTCATTAACTGTTGCTGTGCCAGCGGTACATGAGAAAGATTCTGAAGGGATAAATCAGAAGTATTACCCATAACTGACCTCTGTGAAAATGATAAAACATTAAGTTAGCCTAATTTTGAAAAGCTACTTCTTGTGTAACCCAATTCATTTTAAAGTTCAGTTCTCCAGTTGATCTGAGTAAAAGCAACAGCTTCTTAATACAATATTCTACTTTCCAACTTAAGGAAATGCTAATTAATTCCTTTAATAATATACAAGAGGTGACCATTTGGTCATGAGACTAATTCCATATCTTTTCCTTCTTTGATCCTTCCTCCCCTCCCCTCAGCCCTTTCTGGTTTTAGTGACAGTGACATTATATTCATTCACTTATTTATTCACTTAATCATCCAATGAAGATTTATTGAACACTTTCTGTGTGTCAGGCACTGTGCTACATAGTAAGAAATACAACAGTATGATCTGCCTTCATGGATCTTATGGTCCCCCCAGGAAGGGAGACATTATTTAATTACAAAAACATATGTACATATATAATTACAAATGGTAATTATATGAAGGAAAAATACAAGGAGCTATGACAACAAATAATGGGGGGATTCAATTTAGAATGGAACATTCAAGGAGGTTTCCATGAGGAACTAACTCTTGTGCTGAGATCTGAACGCTATGGAGAAGTAATTAGGTGAAGTCTGGGGGAATTAGGTTGTGTTGGGATGTGGGTTTTTCCAGGCAGAAGGGACAGCAAGAACAAAGACCTAAGGAGGAGAGAACAGGGTCCCTGAAGACCAAAAGCAGGCCACTGTAGCAGGCCAGGGATGCACAATAAGCATAAGAGGCAGGAAGGGCCAGCTTAAAATCAAAAGTAAGCATCTTGGTCTTTCTCCTAAAACAAAGGGAATATTATCAATACTATGGACTCCCACTTTCATCATTCCTTACACATTATTTTAATTGTTTAATGTTTGCTTTCCCTACTGGCTGAAATTCTGTAACAACAGAGACTATGAATGTTTTGTTTGATGCTGTAGCCTCAATAATTAGCACAATGTATAGTACATACATGTCAAGATTCTCAATAAAATATGCTGAGCAAATAAATGAATAAAGACTCTAAAATGTACCAACTCCTTTGTTAAATTCTAAGGATGAAAAATAAAAGGCAGGCATTTCCCTTCATTCATTCAACCTACATTAAACATCTATTATATATTAGGTTTGATTTGTAATTAGGATTCCATATTCTTAAACAGTACCTGAAATTAATAAGTAATGTTTATCTCCAACATCATGGATATTTACAAATACAAAGAAATATTTAATATACTTAACTGAAAAAGGTAAGAAAAATATTCTTTCATAAATATGAATTAATTTTTTAACATTGATTAAATTTAAGAATTAAGAGTTATTGTTCATTTATTTTTTCTCTCTATAAATACTTTTTTGAGTTAAAACCACATAAGAAGCTTTTAAAAAAACTACCAATTTATTATCTAGAGAAAACATATCACAAAATATCCCTCTTTCCTTCTTAATGCCCTATAAATAGGAATAAATAAATATATATAACTATCCTGCTTTGATTAGCTTAACTGGATCTGATATATATATTAAGTTATGATTTTATGTAGTTATACTTATTATTAAGAATTTTCTTTAAAAGCAAAATAATTAACTTCTTGAGAACTTTAAGTGTTAAAAACAAACAAAATAGGTACTCCAAATATTTGATGCTTCAGTACGCAATGCTATTTATGTACCTGATGTGCTTTATTCAACTGTAAAAATGCAGGGGAGATGGATGGATTCATCAGATGTGGCAAGCTGTGAGGGGTTCCAAGAACTGCTTTGAAAAAATAAAAGCAAAAATTTAACTGTATGATATATATGAAATTAAAAATTAAAAAATCGAGCTCCAAAAAAGGTAAATGAATATTTCTTTAAATTTTTAACAAATTCATTGGAAGTTCAATGATATACTAACCTCATTGGTGAAAAGTGGCAGGCTCCTTTATTTTGATCCTGGAATTTGTTTTAAAATTCTAACACCGTCTACCATTGTAAAGCACCAAGCCTAGGCTTACTTTTCTCTACTGCTTAGTGCAACAAAACTAATTCCATCTTTTAATAAAGTCTAATAATAATTGGACACATGTTATTTCCTCAGTGTTTTTTTAGGTATGTGATCGATTTTGGTAGAGGGTGAGACTAGGGGACAAGATACAATCCTTGTCCTTGTAAAGCTTATGTAAAATCCAATTGAGAAGATAATATGAGTATATGTACACGAAAATACTTACATAATAATGACAAAAGAAAACAACAAAACTGTACACAGAGATAAAAGGAATAAATGGTAACCATGTTCTTAATCAAGTCCAAGAGTCCAAATACCAGAGTACACTTCAGAAGAGATGTTTTCAGAATAGATAATACACAGAGACAAAAAGAACCATAAGATAGAAAATATATACAAGAATTTCATCTAATTATTTACAAAGTAGCTGGGAATAGTCATAATATACAAATTATATATAATATGTTTGTATATATGTTATATATAATATATACTTATTATAATATAATATTATATATATTTATTATTATGTTATACATATTTTTGTTATATAAATATATATTATATATGTTATTTATATATAATATACAAAATATTTAGTATCCAGAAAAGGTCCTGGTAATATCTGTTTGTGATACAGATGTAGGAAAATAAAAAACACTGAACTAGTGAAATAAATCCTTGTTACATTCAAATTTTTTTACTATCTAAGTATATACACTGGGACCACCTCAGAGGGTAGAATGATACAATATCTTGGTTTCAGGTATAGGATTTTCTCAGTTAACCCACAGGGAGCTATATAATTCAGTAGTTTTCAATATTCTCTCTAGCAAAGGAAGAAGCACCCACCGTTTGTGGGAATGGAGGGAACGTCTAATTATAGCATAAATTTAGGAGAGTTATGATAATGTGAGGATATATGAAAGAGGATCCGTTTAGAATGCTATTACCTAGGTCAATATGGGGGGGAAGGCATTTCTAGGAGGAAAATTGGTACTGTACACTCAAAGAACTCCCTTGCAAGCAATATGTTAGGGAATTAAGTGTAGAAGAATTAGAGAAAATGTTACTAGACTAACAAAAATAACTTAAGTGAAAGAGCTAATTTGTTTTTTATTTCTGCAGTTGAAGCCCCCAGAATGGGGTTTTTAAAAAGACATATCCCCTCCAAATTAAGTTAATAACCCACTGGGGCAAAATATCTAAATCACAAAATCCCAAATGTATCATCTATGAAAGATAAATAAAAATCTCCCTCCTCAAAAAATTATGATGGGAACCACAAATAACAAATGCCAAAATATTTTTAAAACTATATTGCATTAAAGTCATAGATTATTGATGGAGCAGACAGTAGTAATAATGCAAATATGAGAAAAGGATTGACCAAGATAAACTAAGATACAAACCCACTTGGCAACTTAAGAGATATTTTATTAAAAATACATAGAGAGAGACATATTAACATAGATAGATAGGTTAATATTAATTTTTAAAAACTGGTAGTTATATTAATATCAAAAAACTTCCTGAGCAAAGAGTATTGCCAGGGATAAAGATGTTCCTTTCATAATGATAAAGGGGTCAATTCATTAAGGGTATACAACAATCTTAAATGTTTGTGCACCAAATAAAAAAACTTCAAAATATATAAAGCAAAAATGTACAGACTGAAAGGAAAAGTAGACAAATCCACAATTATGGTTACAGATTCCAATATCCCCTTCTCTTTTCCAGATAGTCACTGTATTTTGTTGTAAAATACTGAAAACACGTTTTTCTTCACAGCTTTTACTGAACACAATAGCTACCAGTTTGTAACAACAATAAAAACAACAAAAGGAATAAAAACAATCTGAAAATGACCACAGCTTCACATCTACCTGCCCTTGCTTAGCTCTTGGCCAAGAGTCTCACTGTGCCCCATCCTTCCGGTCAGTAACTGATAGAATAAGTTGACAGAAAATCAGTACGAATATAGAAGACTTAAACAACACTATCAACTACCCTAATCTAACTGACATTTATAAAACACTCCACCCAACAACAGTAAAGTGCACATGGAATATTTACCAATACTCTGGGCCATGAAACAAGTTTAAATACAAATTTATAAATTTAAATCATACAAAGTATGTTTTCTGACTACAAGTGAATTAAATTAGGCATCAATAACTGATATAAATTGAATGTATCCCCCAAATTTCATGTATTAGAAAGTTAATCCCCACTGTGACAGTGCTAAGAGGGTGAGAAGTCCTATTATGATAAGTGAAAGGTGGGGCCTTTAAGAAGTGATTTGATTGTGAAGACTGTACCCTTCCATTCACGGAGTATTGGGAGTGGTTCTGATGGCTTTATAAGGAGAGAGTGTGAGAAGCTTAGCCCTTGCTCTCTTGCTCAAGCCATTCACCACATGACACACCCTGTGTTGCTGTGAAGAGCCACAACCCACAAACAAGGCCCTCACCAGATGTGTTCCCTGGACTTTGGACTTCCCAGCCTCTGAAACTTTAAGAAATAAATTCTATTTCCTTATCAATTACCCAGTCTCAGGTATTCTGTTATAAGTAACAGAAGTAGACTAATGCAATAACAACAACAACAAATTCTGGAAAATCCTGAACTTTTGAAACCTAAGTAACAACTTACAAATAACCCATGGATCAAAGAAGACAAAATAGAAACAAGAAAGTATTCTGAAATGAATAAAAATGAAAATATATCACAATTTATGAGGGAAATGTGTAGTATTCAACACTTATATAAAAAGAAGAAAGGTCTCAAGTGAATAATCTAGTTTTACTCTAAGAAACCAGAGAAAGCAGAACAAACTATGCCCAAAGAGAAGAAAACAATAAAAATAAAAGTGAAAATCAATGAAACAGAAAACAGAAAATAAAGTCAATGAAACCAAAAGCTGGTTCTTTGAGAAAATCAATAATACTGATAAACTTCTAGCCAAACTGATCAGGAAAAAACAGACACAAATTACCAGGAATGTGAGAGAGGACATCACTACAAATGCTGCAGACATTAAAGAATAAGGGAATACTATGAACAATGTTATGCCTATAAGCTTGATAACTTACACAAAATAGGCAGTTTCCTTGAAAGAAACAAACTGTCAAAGCCCACTCAAGAAGAAAGATATCCTGAAATAGCTCTTTAAAATCTCTTAAAGAAATTGAATCTATAATTAGAAATCTTCCTACAAAGATAATTCAACAGAGATGACTTCACTAGTGAATTCTACTAAACATGTCAGAAAGAAGTAATAGCACTGAACACAAACTCTCCTGACAACTGAAGAGAGGAAATATTTCCTAAATCATTCTATGAGGCCAGCATTATCCTTATAACAAAGTCAAAGAATATGTTACAAGAAAAGAAAACTATACCCCAATATGCCTCATGAACATAGATGTAAAAATTCTAAACTAAACGTTATCAAATCAAATCTAATAATATGTAAAAAGGCTTATAAAACATCATGACTATGAGGTATACCCTAGGAATGAAAGGATGATATAACACTCAAAAGTCAATCAATGTAATGCATCATGTTAACAGACAAACAAGAAAAACATATGATCATCTCAATAGAGAAGAGCATTTGACAAATTCCAGCAATCATCAGGATAAAACTTCTCAGCAATGTAGGAATAGGAGGTAAATTCCCAGCTTGATAAAGGAAATCTGTAAAGAAAATATATCTAAGATAATACTTAATAATAAAAGAATGAATGTTTTTTCCATAAGATCAGAAGCAAGGCAAGGATTTCTGCTCTCACCAGTTCTATGCACAATTATACAGGGGTGCTTCAAAAAGTTCATGAAAAGATTCACATTATCTTTAATTCTATTTTTCCACAAACATATACCTAAATGTAAAAGATAACTTCTCAAAGAAATGAAAAAATCTTCATGACCTTGAGTTTGGCAAAGATTTCTTATTTACTTTTTTTGTGTTTTTGTTTTGTTTTTATCATTACACAATGTAAACATTTTTTGTGGCCCTTTATCATTTTCTTCCTAACCCCCAGATTTCTTAAATATGACATAAGAAGTACAAATTACAAAAGAAAATAATAATAACTTGGACTTTGTCAAAATAAAAAGTTTTGCTATTCAAAAGACACTATTAAGAAAATAAAAGGAAAACCTACAAACTGGGAGAAAATATTTGCAAGCCACATATCCAATAGAGTACTTGGATCTAGAATAAAGAAAGATATAAATGGCTAGAAGAGAGGAGATCAAATGTTCTTATCACAAAGAAGTTATTAAGTTTTGCACTAATGAATATGCTACTTACCCTGATTTGAACATCACAATCGTATACATGTATTGAAATATAATTCTGTATCTTATATACAATCAATATATTTCATTTAAAAAATTTAAAAATTTTTATAAAAGAATTCTTACAACTTAATAAGACAAACAGCTCAATTTTAAAATGTACATAATATTTGAAAAAACATCACCAAAGAGGATATAAAGATGGCAACTTATCACATTAAAAGATCCTCAAAATCATTAATCAAAAGTGATATTCAAATTAAAACCACAATAAGATAGCACTATACACCAAATAGAAACGCTAAAATTAAAAAGACCAACATACCAAGCATTGGTGGGGATACTGAGCAAACTGGAGCCCTAGACACTGACCGTCTATTTTACCCAAGAGAAATAAAAGCATAAATCTGCATAAAGCAAATTATGGAATGGAATACTACTCAATAACAGAACGGAAAAAA